GAAGCTCATTCCTCGCCTTGCTCCATAGGCCGCTCTAGTTCAAGGTCGTCGGCCACCTTGGTTTTTCCCTTCAGGGYGGCAACATAACACTTGCGGGACTCGAGCTGGTCGCCCCGCGCTACCCCCACACCGAAGTCTGTAGGGAACTTCATGGCCAAATAGTAGGTGTAGACCATTGCCAGCAGGATATGCGTGATTGGCCGCCCTATTATGGCWTTGTATGGGGAGGGGGTCGCGACCACCAGGAAATCATGGTTGAGTCTGACCGCACAAGGCCATGTGCCGACTTCCACAGGTACTGTTTTTTTTCCGAGGGGCTTGACTTCCTCTCCGCTGAAACCCACCAGAGGAGTGTTCGCGGGGTTCAGCTCGCTCCTCTATAATTGTAGCTGGTCAAATGCTGATTTGAAGAGGATGTCCGCTGAGCTGCCCGAATCTACGAGTACGCGTCTGACCTCAAAGTCGCTGATCCTTAGTTTAATGACAAGCGCGTCATCATGGGGGTAGTGGACCCCTCGCGCGTCGTCTTCCGTGAAGAAGATCGGTTCTTCAGTCTTTGGTCTTTTTGGGGGGTTTCGTTCCTTGAGGGTCGCTTTGCGAACTGATGTCCGGGTTGTTGCCGAGGTACACCCTACTACCACCGAACCTCCCACAATACATGGATGGTTCCCTGAACTGGCCTCTCTTCCGAAGGCTGTTGTTGCAACGGTTCTGCTGGTCTGCTGCTAGATTCGGGGGCATCCTTTCCGTGTTCCCCTTGCCGACCCGCCTTATTGTTATTATTGTTATGCTGTACAAAATTTCTTAAGTATCCGCGACGGATGAGTCCCTCTATCTCGTCCCGGAGATTATTACACTATTCGGTACTATGACCGTGGTCTCTATGGAAACTACAATACAAATTCTTATTTCTCTCGTTCGGATTTCCCTTTAGGCGAGGTGGCCACTTAACGTATGGGGCGTCCTTGATTGTCATTAAGATCTCGGTCCGCCTCGCGTTTAACGGCGTGTAATCCGTCTGAACTGCTAGGGGAGCTCGGAACGACTGGTTCGGCTTCGGCTCTCGGGCCGGGTTTTTTCTGTCGACTGGGTTGGAGGGCTCGCCTTCCCTCTTTCTTTTCTCATTCCCGCTTTCGGTTCGTTGGTTGATTTCTTCCTCTGTTCTCATGAACTTATCCGCGAGCTTGAGGAATTCGGCCACGGTTGCGGGCCGGTTAGCTACCATGTGCCATTTATACTCTTTGTGCGTTACTCCTCTCTTGGCCGCCGCGAGCTGCACCGCGGGGTCTAACCATGGTATCTGTAAGCATGTTTCATTGAACCGCTTGATGTAGCCCCGGATGGTATCTCCTTCCCTCTGGACTACTCCGAAGATGCTTTCCTCTGTTCTGGGGCACCGCTTGCTGGTGACAAAGTGTGCGGTAAAGACCTGCACGAACTAGGCCCAGCATTTTATCGACCCGGGGGCCAAATTCCTGTACCAAGTGCGGGCTACCCCCCTGAAGGTGGTGGTGAAGGCCACGCACATGCACGATTCACTAGCCCTGGCGAGGTGCATTTGGGACTGAAAAGCGTCAACGTGGTTGTTGGGGTCGAAGGACCCATCATACTTGTCCAAAGGTGGGAGCTTGAAATCTCTGGGCAAGGGGACTGCCAGGAGTTCGGATGGGAGGGGGGAAGGAACTGAGAGAATCGAGGCAGCTCCTACCTCGTCCGAGCTCGTCTCTTCCTTGCCTCTGGGCTCTGATAGGACACGGGTGGCAGTTCGGCGACTTCGCCAGCGCCTTTGTTGTTGAGTGGGCCTGGTACTGGCGCTGTTGGCCTCTGTGTTGCCGAGCTCGATGGGCCCGGAATGCTGGTAGTATGCTGCTAGGGCGCCGAATCGGTTTTCCGTGAGCAGGAACTCGGGCTTGGAGCGCTGAGGTGCCGACCTTTCGGGCGAGGTTCCTGACCCGCCTGCGAGCTGCGAGGCGGGGATGATTTTTCTCTCTCTTCGGCCTGGGTACGAGGCCTGGTTGTTAGGGGTGTTCTGGGGCTGGGAGGCCTTTCCCTGGTGGGGGCGTCCATCCTGTGGGGAGGCCTTAACTGGCCTCGGAGCAGGGTGCCGAGGTGGAAGTAGTGGTTGGTTCAATGATAGTTGGGGGAACTGCTGTTGATAGTGATACTGGGAGATGTGCAGTACTTGGTGCTGATGAAGCTGGTGTTGTTGGAACTGTTGCATTTGGGTTTGCATTGCCCGCATGCACTGCATCAGGTCGTCCAACCGGTTTTGGCTGGCTGCCAGGGGGACGGCAGTTGGTTCAGTAAAGGTTGTCTCAATAGGGGGAGGAAAGGGGATGCTCATGGCAGGAAGGTTTACGGGCGCCACTGCTTGTGGCGCATTCAAGCTGGGGATCCCAT